TTAAGATGTGATTCCAGGGTCCTTAAAATCTCCAATCTCCCAATCAGAAGCCTTGCGGTCGAATGTGGTTTATCCTACAGAATGGGGATGTGGGTGTTAAAAATAAAAATGTTAATTAAAATCTACAATGAATTGGTAGTTGTGCAGAGCCATGATCTTCCACGTTCTGAAGGGACACGATTCGTACATGATGATTCTCAATTGTTTTATAAATTTCAGCCGGTCGATTTACGTCCTTCTTCAGGTTTGCCATCCGTAAGTAAAGTTTCTCAGGCCTTCATTGATATTTGCATATTCCCAGCAGAAGGTTCGGCCGACCATCGCTGGACTCCAAATGACAGTATTTGTCCTTTTAAGATTCTTGAATGTTAAATCAAGACAGCGTACGAATATCGGTTTACTCAACTCAAATTAGTGTAAGTAGTTACTCGTGTTTGCTAAGCGACGCCATTTTTCCTAGAGCAAGAAGATAATTTCCACACCCCATCCGTCCATTGTCTTGTTTGAAGCATAAATAATGACGTATTTTTATTTTCTTTGTTCATTCGGTCAGATTAATGTCTAGACTGCATAATCCCAAGTGAAAAATCAAACATTTGGTGGCTTAAATTAAACTTCTCTCCTGGACATTTGGAGAGTATATTATTCAAATACAAACTGTCATTTTGAGGTCACAACGAAAGGGAGGCATATCGAGTTGGAATTTACTTAATAAGAAATTTAATTGGTAATGTCTGAGACATTTTTATAATGTTTAAACCTCAATAGCTTCACCTCTCCAATTACACACTGTGCTTATCTCAATAGACATTTATAGTCATCAGATTTACGATACATGCAACATTGTTCTATATATTTTTTTTATTTTTATAATCAATTCACCCCAAGTAAGGGGATGATACCACTAAAACGCAAGAGGTTACTGGGAGTGAAAGTGGATCAGAATACTAAAAAAAAAAAAAAAAAAAACCCAATCCTAAGCAGGGAAAAAAAGGATACACCTCTACTCCTGTACAAAAAACCGGAAGAAGAGTGGATCGTGCGATAGGCAAACCGATCTATTTATATTGAGGAAAAAAGTTGGAGTACACTTCAAAAGGAACCTATATATATAGAAAATGTGTGACAAGCAATATAACGACATATATATACATATGAATACACGTGCACACACATGTTAGTACCCATATAAAACATGAGAATTAACACTTCAAGTGTATACCCGACAAAGGAAATGTTTTTAGGGAATTTGAAATTTACTCCAATGTCTACAATTGAAAATAAGTTAATTTGGATTGATTCCGTTTCTCAAAGAAGGAATCAGTTTAATCAGAAATAAAAGAAATAAGTATCAACACAACAATTTTTTCTCGTCCTGAAATAACGACATCAAAAAGCTTCGTGAATATGAAAGGATCCTATTAAAAATAAGTAGATAGAACATGTCAAAATTAGTCAACAAAACATGTCACGAATATATGTATATATTAAATGTAGCCGTCTCTTCTACTCCAATAGCTTCATATCTCGCACCTCTCACCTTCCCTATTCCAGTTTCCCTGAGAGCTATAATCTCCAACTATTCAAATGCAATGTCAATCGACACCTCCAGTTGCCTTGATCTATCCACTATCCTTCTCCTCATGCTTTCCTCTATCACTCCTATCTGATCTTGCTCCAAATCTTCTGTAACCCCTTGCGTCCTAGTGGCTTCCCGCCTTGTTTGGGGCGAAACGGCAAATATATATATATATATATATATATATATATATATATATATATATATATATATATATTTCGCAATCAGCGCCATCACTTCTTAAGACAGCAGAAGTGTTGAAACAAAAATAGCTATTTTTGTAGTGATGTTATAACATGCTATCATATATTATAATTTTTGAATATATATATATATATATATATATATATATATATATATATATCGAATGTTTGTTTTGCTTTAATTTCCGGTGAAAATAAAGACAAAATTTTTCTGTATAATCCCTCGGAGGTCGGCTCATGTGAGCTGAAGCATAGGACCAACTTAATAAAAAAATATCCAAAAGTTTGACAATTTTTCTCTTTATTTTCACCAGAAATTAAAGCAAATATTCGAACATTAGAACGACTCATGATCAGACATAATAGATATTCGTTGTCTGTTAGATTTAAGAATATATGTTTAAATAATGATGTGCTACCCCAGTACAATACATATATATATAAAACGACAATGACCGAGAGGGCACAATTCATGAAAGACCTTTGCAGTATTAGCAGTAGTAGTCATTTTTTGCAAATTCGCGATATATATATATATATATATATATATATATATATATATATATATATATATATATATATATATATATATATATATATGTATGTATGTATCAGTTGATGCACGGTGGAGTACTGTATAGCGGCCCCGGATTAAGGAATCGGGAGCTAGTTCGAATTCCTTGGATTGCAACTGGTCTAGGAGAAGGACAACTCTAAATTCAAAACCTGCGGAGGGTCGTTTAGGGACCTTGTGGCACTTAGTGCACTAAGGTCTCTGTATTTGGCCCTTCAAAAAGTGTGGTTGGTTCTGCACAAAGCCTTCACTACTATAATCAAATCATCTGTGCCGGTGTCTGGCTGTCGATTCCTAGGAACTGTGTTGCGTGACCCTCATTAAAATTGCTGTTTTGTTTACTTTTTTAAATAAAAATATTATTTTATTTTCAGAGTATTAAATAGGTATCAATAATCTTACGTCCCGGAATAATCATTTAAAAATGTTATTAGAGAATTGTTATATTTCGGTTTTCATACTAAATATTGCTTAAAACGCCTAATAATTATTTATCAACCCAATATATATATATATATATATATATATATATATATATATATATATATATATATATATATATATATATACGAATGTAATGAGGACGAAAATAATATTTTCAATATTCGTTGGAAGATGAAACGGAACTAATGCTTTTAATTTAATTATCTAATTAAAATTTAAAGTTTTCAGCTTCCATTTTTGAAAAACCATATTTTAAATCAGTGTATAATATAAATCAATTTATAATATTTATACTGTGTAAATTTACATTGAGCACTCTTGTCAAAATAAAAATAAAAATAATAAGAACACCGGATTATATATCTTACTCTTCTTTCTTTTTTATATATATATATATATATATATATATATATATATATATATATATATATAATAAAATAAACACTACTTATTGATGATTGATGTAACAGTCGTATCACAAACAATTTTTATTAAGCAAATCTATCAAATCTTTCATTTACTCTAAAAATTATCCAAAGTGACAAAGTAAATTCTAAAGGCAATTGTAGAATTTTATTGGAAATTTCTTTATTATAGACTTTATTAAAAAGATTTTATTATAAAAATAATTGCAGATAATTTTATTTTAAGAATGCATTCGAAATTGGAAAGGAATTGATTGCCTTTGGTCAGGGAATCGATGCAAGTCTTGCACATATTACGGGGCTATTATATGTATAATATAAAGGCATTTCGTGTAATTTTACAATAAAATGCATTTCAAATTATTCTATTATAGAAATGCATTTTAAATATTAAAAAAAAAGAATTGCCTGTGATTAGGAATTAAGGCTATCGTTATTAACATAACACATCTCTTATATTTCGAATAACGTGCAGTTTCTCATGTTTCATTCGTAAATTGCAAAGATTGAAATGAAACTAATTGTGATTGTCATGCTGTGTTCATGATTAGCTGGAGTTTTATTGTCAATGGAATCGAATAGAATCGATTACACCATTGAAAATAAAAATGGTTTCAATTACGATACTCACACGTAGAGTCAATCCACTTATCTGTTCTCTGGATATTACATTATTATTCGGAAAGCCAGAAGAAAGGACTATCTATTCCTAAAAGACAGAATACAACCTTGTGGAAATTAATTGAAGCAACCACTTTAGTTTCCTTTCTTTCACCATACAGTCAGTTTTAGACCCACTGGAGTGAAAGGGTGTAATCAATTTCTATTTTTTTCTCAGATTAGGTCATTTGCAGTGGTGCGCAGGGGTGTATTTTCGGGGTGTATAATGAAATTTGTTTGGCCTTGAAAAATATTGCGTCATCCGTGATTGCATCATATTTTTATCACGCCCAGACACTATTGTCTCTACTGTCGATTAGTTGTCCTACAGCCATTGTCTGCGATGGACGTTACTACAAGGAGGCATACGAAAATTGTAATAGCTGATTGAAACAACGGCTTTAGTTTCCTTTCTTTCACCATACGGTCAGTTTTAGATCCACTGGAGTGACAGGGTGTAATCAATTTCTATCTTTTCCTCAGATTAGGTTATTTGCAAGGTGTTCAGTAATATGAATCTATTTTCTGAGTATATGATGAAATTTGTTTGGTCTTGAAAAATATTGCGTCAACCGTGATTGCATCATATTTTTATCACGCCCAGACACTACTGTCTCGACTGTTGATTAGTTGTCCTACGACCATTGTCTGCGACGGACGTTACTCCAAGAAAGCGTACGAAAATTGTAACGATGCACGAACACGAACGTCTCCTGATTTAAATCCAATCGACAATCTCTGGTCAATCTGCAAGGAACGACTACGTGATAATAGACATGAAGTACTAAGATGTGCACTGGGTCATATTTCACTGGAAAAAATACGTAAATAATAATAAATAATTAAATAATGACGGAATGATTTGTTTTGTTTCAATTAATTTGCACAAGGGTGTATATGTGCTGTGTAGAAAGACGACTGATTTTTCTCGACGCTAATTGCTGAACACGGATTCATCCATCTGGTCATGGGGACGGTCGTCGCAAAGTGGGTCGCAAGGCAAAGCGTTTGAGTTGTACGAATTGCTACACTGAATTATGGCATTCTCTATTACTGGTCTATAGCATTCATCGGGGTCCATGGATGTGTGGCTGAAGATTTAGGGTAGGGTTTTTATGAGAGATCGCCACCCATGTAATCGAAGGCAAAAACTGAAGCCGATACAAATTGAACATAAAATCCGACTGTCTTAGAGACTCCGGCTTCGGATTTGAATTCAGAGTTTTCCTTCTCCTAATTTGGTTGCCAACCATGGCTACAGTGACCAGATTGCTCTACTATTTACTCCTATTTGAAGTTTTTGATTTCATAGTTTTTCCTTCTCCTAGATTGGTTGCCAACCAAGGTTTAGGCCGCTAAGAGATGGATTTATACCCTCCCCAAGGGTATTAGCACGAAAGTGAATGATTACATTCACGGCTGGAATTCGAACTCGGCACAGTTTTCTCAATCCGAACCGCAATTCAATTACTCCACCGTGCCTCATGTATACGTCAATGACGTCATAAGTATACATCCAGGCACACAATCCTAGGTCTTGTTTCTTTCGGCATACATAAAAGAATAGTTATACGTCCTATCTATGTTAGGTCGTGTTACATAAACAGCAAGGTTTTAGAATAATTTCCCGCGAGAATTTGCCATACAATTTAAAGTAGAATTGCGAACGAAAGTAGAAAGGCGCTTGATTGATGCTGATGATGTCTTAAAGTGCAGTCGTCTTCCAGGATGAAGTAAGTGCCTGATGAATTCATTGGTGATTGTCTTGACAGTCCTGAGAGCAAGGACGAAAAAAGTCAATCCTATAATTGCAACAAATTGCATTTGCCCATATTGTTGTTGTTATTATAGTCTGTCCCTCTCACACTCACGCCTCTTTATCTATCTATCTATCTATCTATCTATCTATCTATCTATTTGTCTATCATCTATCGATCTATCTCAGTCTGTTCATATCTATCTCATTTTGCTCATATCTATCAATCTATCTATCTATCTATCTATCTCAGTCAATTCATATCTATCTATCTCAGCCTGTTTATACTTATCTCTTTCAGTCTGTTCATATCTATCTATCTATCTATCTATCTATCAGTCTTTACATCTCTATCCATTTATCTAAATCTGTTCATATCTATCTCAATCTGTTCACATCTATCTATCTATCTATCTATCTATCTATCTATCTATCTATCTATCTCAGTCTGTTCATATCTATCTATCTACCTATCTATCTATCTATTTCAGTCGCTTCATCTCTTTCTATATATCTACCTCAGTCTGTTCATATCTATCTATCTATCTATCTATCTATCTATCTATCTATCTCAGTCGGTTCATATCTATCTATATATCTATCTCAGTCTGTTCATATCTATCTAGCTAGCTATCTATATATCTATCTTAGTCGGTTCATATCTATCTATCTATCTATCTATCTATCTATCTATCTCGCATTCTCTTACTGTTTCTCTCACTTCTCTCTCACACACAGTTCTTCCCTCCCTCTCTATCTCTCTCTTTCTTTCGCGCGCACACACATACACATACAGACACAGACATAAACATTCTCCCTCCTAGGATTACAGTTATATAGCGTTGGAACACTGGTTCCCGTACGATCACTTAAGTTAAGCAACATTGTGCCTGGTCAGTACCTAGATGGGTTACCGCTTGGGAATACCAGGTGCTGTAAGTTTGTATAGGGGTGTCTTTTTGATTCATTTATAGTCTCTGGAATATAAATGTATAGAAACTACCGTGGCCATAAAGTGAAGGATCAGTTTATATATTGTTTGTAATATAGAATTGATCCTCCACTTTATATCCACAAAATTTGTTTATCAAATTCTGACTAATCCACCTGTTCTCCTCCCAGCTATGGGTTAATTAGTAAGACTTGTATCACTAAAATATTATTACCCCCCCACAAAAAAATTAAATTAAATCTAAAAATATTTTCTGGTTTTAAATAACCTGCAATGGGTTGATAAACCGTAAAAAACGAACCCATCAATAAAAAAAAGTATTGCCCATCACTTCCACTCTCACACTATCTATCTATCTATCTATCTAGCGTTCTCTTTTCTCTTACTGTTTCTCTCTTTTTTTCTCTCACCCAGTTTCCCCCGCTTTCTCACAAACATATACTCTACTCTTTTTCTCTCTTCCACGCATTCTCTTTTCTCTTTCTCTTTCTGGCGCACACACTCTTCTTTCACTTTCCTTTGTCTTTCTCACACACTCACTGTTCCCGCTATCACTCGCACAAACACACACACACATTTCCTTCCCTCACACGCGCAATATTATCTGGTCATAGCTATCTATCTGTCTGTCTATTTATCTATCTCAGTTTGTACATATCTATCTATTTTAAAACATTTTTATGTTTATACATTTTTTATAGATACAAATATTTAAGTAAATGGTCTGTTTTATAATAAACAGTATTAATAGCATTTACCAGCCTGAATGGCAGAGAAATCGAACCTGTATCCTACACGGAACCGTAATTTAGCCTGACGTGCCTTAACCGATTCGGCCACAGAGGAGCGTTCGATTAGCAATGTCGATTTTACTGCTTTTAAACTACAATCTTCCATGAATCTGACATACATTCATATCTGCTCGTGGCGTATCCAAATGTAAACAAATGACGTCACACATTATGAAATGGACAAAGTCCGATAATTATTTTAAGACATTTTTATGTTTATTTGTATCTATAAAAAAAATGTATAAGCATAAAAATGTCTTAAAATAATTGTCGGACTTCATAATATCTATCTATTTATCTCAATATATTAATATTTATCTGTCTATCTATCTCAGTCTTTTCGTATCTATCTATCTATCTTTCTATCTCAGTCTGCTAATATCTATCTATCTATCTATCTATCTATCTATCTATCTCAGTCTGTTCATATCTATCTATCTATCTATCTATCTATCTATCTATCTATCTATCTGTCTGTCTGTCTATCTATCTATCTCAGTCTGTTCATATCTATCTATCTATCTATCTATCTATCTATCTATCTATCTGTCTGTCTGTCTATCTATCTATCTCAGTCTGTTCATATCTATCTATCTATCTATCTATCTCAGTCTGTTCATATCTATCTATCTATCTATCTATCTATCTATCTATCTGTCTGTCTGTCTATCTATCTATCTCAGTCTGTTCATATCTATCTATCTATCTATCTATCTATCTATCTATCTATCTCAGTCTGTTCATATCTATCTATCTATCTATCTATCTGTCTGTCTGTCTGTCTATCTATCTATCTCAGTCTGTTCATATCTATCTATCTATCTATCTATCTCAGTCTGTTCATATCTATCTATCTATCTATCTATCTCAGTCTGTTCATATCTATCTATCTATCTATCTGTCTGTCTGTCTGTCTGTCTGTCTATCTATCTCAGTCTGTTCATATCTATCTATCTATCTATCTATCTCAGTCTGTTCATATCTATCTATCTATCTATCTATCTATCTATCTATCTATCTATCTATCTGTCTGTCTGTCTGTCTATCTATCTATCTCAGTCTGTTCATATCTATCTATCTATCTATCTATCCCAGTCTGTTCATATCTATCTATCTATCTATCTATCTATCTGTCTGTCTGTCTGTCTGTCTATCTATCTATCTCAGTCTGTTCATATCTATCTATCTATCTATCTATCTCAGTCTGTTCATATCTCTCTATCTATCTATCTATCTATCTGTCTGTCTGTCTATTCTTTATTTTTCTTCCTTATGTCTAATTGATTTACTTATTTGCTATTGTCTTATCATACATACACTTTCCACTTTCTTTTCTCTCCTACACAATTCTCTTTTTATATCTCCCGCACACACTCTCCTCTTTCTCCTCTCTCTCTCCCAGAAACTGTCTTCTCTTTCACACGCATACACGTTCCCCTATATCTGTTGTCTATCTCACATGTTTTCCTCCTCTCTTTCACACTGTTCTCTCTCGCTTTTCAATCTCTCTCAGGCACATACACCCTCTTGACCATGCATACACTTTCCTCTATATCTTGCTTACTTATCTCACACGTTCCCCTCTCTCACAATCTTCTATCTCTCTCTTCGCTGTCTCTCAAACAAATCACACCTCTCCCTCTCTATTTTCTATTCACCCTATATATTCTTCTCTCTCTCTCTCTCTCTCTCTCTCTCTCTCTCTCTGTCTCTCTATCTATCTATCTATCCATCTATCTATCTATTCTACGCGTAAATAACACCTTAGCTCCTCACAACAAGCAGTCAACTTTCACTGGTCAATCGTCAATAGAATAGCAATTCACTAAATATGACTTCGGTCGACTTCACGGCACAGCACCAATCACAAGGGGCGCCATCTATTGTTACTTTCTGCAATTACGCTAAAACGTCGAGCGACATTTTTAGAGAGGAAACAATTTTTAAAAAAGGAAAAAAACAACACCTAAACGAAGTTAGCTGTATCACTGATAAAAGTCTGTCTGGGGCAGTAACCAAAATGGCGGAACAGTAATCCTACTAGAAAACGCAAGTTAAACTGAAAACGAAAAAAAAAACATACCAAATTTTTTTTTAAGTATATTCTTTTTTTCAAAAACCTATATTGCAAGAGATAGCAAGACATAATTTGTCTTAAATTGTTATTTACCAAACGTAGACGTGTCTAGCGAAAAGGTCGCAGAAATATGGCAGACAGTGCGGATTCAATTCACTGGTGGTGTGACGAATGTCTAATACATGAATCGAGTGCATTTGTCGAGATCAAAATTTATATTAGGATTTCTTCTTTTTTTTTTACTAAATCTTCACCCAACGCAAGGCAAAAGAGACACTCAAGATATAGTGTTGCTGGATGAATATTTATCTATATATATATATATATATATATATATATATATATATATATATATATCAGTCTCTTCATTATATATATATATATATATATATATATATATATATATATATATATATATATATATATATATATATTGTGTATAGGCAGCAATTTTTCATTGATGCATCTTTCATTAAATAATATAGACAAGTTTTGTCTATTTCTTTTAAGTAAGTTCCTTTCATATTGTCTGATAAGCTTAATAACATTATCATTGAAGGACGAAAGGAAATCACCATATTGATATACGTTTTAATGCAATCTAAGCTTTAGGCTTACATAAGCCATTATCAAAGATGACAAATACATTCCAATATATCAACCAATACATGGACGAAACAATAACGATAGTCTGTTTTTGTTGCATGAAACATTTCAAAGCAACGACTAACTCGTGTATACGAGACGCGGAGCGGAAATCGCGTCGCAGCTCCTGACGTCACATATCAAGACGCGAGAGTGAAAACGAGAAGTATTAAGTATGGGAATTCGTTGGTATAAACCAATGGCTTCTGTTATCAATTATAGGCATTTAAGAATGTTTGTTGAGATTTCATAGTTTATTTTTTTCATGTTAGGTTTCAACTGTTTTATGTATATAGCTTCAAAAATTTTTAGTTTTTGTTTATTGTTTTCATGTATAGTTGTATTTTCAACAAGGACTTTCCGAAACTTAAAATAAAAATAGACAAAAATTGTCTATATTATTTAATGAAACATGCATCATATATATATATATATATATATATATATATATATATATATATATATATCTTTGTGTATTTAGGCAGCAATCCTTCTTTTATGCACATTTCATTGAATACGACAGACAAGGTGCTTTTATTTATTTTTTATACAATTTCTCATATATATATATGTATATATATATATATATATAAGAGAAATTGGTGGCCTGATGATTACATCTAGCATGAAACACTGTCGCCTCTAAGTGTTGACTTCTATGTTCACTTTTATATTTACACACGCCCTATCTCTGATATTGAGCACTTTATCCCATAAATATAGCACACCTTAAGATTATATTTCTTCATATATATATATATATATATATATATATATATATATACAGTAGCGAGCATAAAGATCAGAACAATGTTAAGAAAATGTCTAAATGTGAAATAGCATTTTATTTTAAAGCTTCAAGGAACATTTTATTAAGAAAAAATAAGGATATAAAGGTAAATTATATAATTCCAAAATATAAAGCTCAATAAACTTATTTTGATAAAGTTATAAGAATAATTATATAACATTTGAAAAAAATTAGATGATCAAAAGCATCATTATTGCTTACACCACCTGCATATCCCAGCTTGCAGCACCATCTAGGTACTGACCACATTCAACGTTGTTTAACTTCGGTAATCAGATGAGAACTGGTGCTTCAACCTGATATGGCCTGATAGATAGATAGATAGATAGATAGATAGATAGATAGATAGATAGATATCCAGCATATGTTTAGAGTATGAACATGCAGATAGCATGAATTGATTGGGGATGTTTTGGACCGTGCAGGAATGTAATTCTGATAGCGATGGTCACCATTTTTTTATTTTTGGTATAAGACCAAAAACGCGAAAAGACAGACGACTGCAAGAATGAGTAAAGTCAAAATACCATTATAAGGCAAGTAGAAGCCAGTAGCGATTAATTTTAACCAACCAGTTGATATACTCCTACTCGATCATCTACATCTAAGCTCTTGCTTCATCCTAGAAACTATTCTACAAGTACTGTCTCTCATAAAATATAGCGAGATAATAAAAACAAAAAGAAATTTATCTGTCGTTGATATAGTCTATGGAGACTTGTGGCTTGAAGTGAAGCCAATAACAACAAATAATGCAACAATATGTAAATTATACATTGTGCATATATATATATATATATATATATATATATATATATATATATATAGTGTATCAAAAATATTTTTACAAATATGGGGGGCGGGTTCATCACACAAAAACAAGGACAAAAGTTCACATAAACATGTGACCGCAAATACTTTGTTTTTGAGTTAAGTTTAAAGAATATTTACGGTAGATGGCGCGAAGTTGTAAGTAGACTAGGTTACATTTGTCATTCGTGTACATTTGCGGCTAGTTTGTTTTCAACGTTTAATGTATGTAGTAGTGAATTAACTGAAAAGTGTTCCGTTTAACAATGCCAGGATATTCATATCGTGAGCAGGCAGATACGATTTTTGTATACGGCCGCGCGAATGGTAATGGACGCGAGGCTGCACGGTTGTATCAAATTGTGTTTCCAGGACGAGGGCAACCGAGTCATCCAAGATTTGCTGCTGTTTAACGTCGCATTGCTGAGACAAGATCCGCGGTAACACAAAATATGGATCGAGGTGGAACGATATCCGCTCGTAAGCCGGACCACTAAGAACACATACTTTTAATAGGCTGTATTTCAGTTGGGCCTGTTTTGCTCGTAAATCTAGGAAAATTAACCTTGTCAAAACACTTACTCATCGTATATTGATGATATTTTTGGAGTGCAAACTTGATGCCGAACTCAGAGAAATTACCAATTATTTCTTAAACGTGTTATCCAAACTAATATTAGACTTAAAATTTCGAAGATTAATAAAATTAAAACATTGGGCCCATCTAAGTGTCCTGTCTATGATTAACTTGGATTGGCTCTTGCAGTCAATTATGCACTGATCTCCTCAACTGTCATGCACTGCTTCAATTCTGTAATTGGAGGGAACATTTTCACTACTAGAAGGGCTATCGGCGTGGTGTAGTGGTTAACAAGCTTGTCTCGCTAGATCAGTTACGACAAAAGTCAGTTTGATCTTCACTAGGCGCCCAAACTTTCGGCCTTGTTCCACATCTAAGCTAGGCTTAGAAAATAACCCCTACTAGAAGTGCTTTCTCCACCGTCCGGTTTCCTGCTAACCTATTAGCCATTATCAAATAATTTTGTTGCTGTTGTTTAATATATATATATATATATATATATATATATATATATATATATATATATAAAAGAAATATGTTGTAGTGGTTCCAACGAGAGAAAAGTATGTATATTAAAAGAAGAGGGGTGCCGCAAACGTTTTTGGTTGTAATGTGGATTTATTGAGAAAAAATATTATACTTTGTTTTACATAATATTTTTTCTCAATAAATCCACATTACAACCAAAAACGTTTGCGGCACCCCTCTTTCTTTAAAAGATATATATATATATATATATATATAGGTTTGGGAATATATTTAATTTTCAAACACGGTCAGCACGTTGTGGCTGTGATCATAATTAATATTGTTGATAGTTGGTTTCTTCTTCCATTATTTAATTATATATTAATATTGCTGATTGATTCTATGCGTGTTTATTTTATACAGTACTCCACCGTGCATCAATCATACATATATGATATATATATATATATATATATATATATATATATATATATATATATATATATATATAAATATGTATGTATATATATCCGAATGAAAGCAAAAGAAAGACGTATTTAGATAAGATTTCCTTTGATCTTTATTCATGTTTTCCTTTTACTGTTACACACACACACACACACATATATATATATATATATATATATATATATATATATATATATATATATATATATATATATTTTGTGTGTAAATTTTAATGGCTCGAACAAAATAATAATCGTTAGAAATTTAAGTCTTTATGTCGAGTATTCCCAAAAGATCGAGATGTTCGTTCATTATCGATGTTAATATTTGATGAAATTTTAAGATGGCGCCAGTATTGGCGGGAAACGCTTCGAAGCAATCCAAAAGTACGTATCGTTGTGTTTGTTGTATAATTATTTTTAAACAGCAGCGAAATTGATTAATGCGACGAAGCAGCAACACTGTGAAGAGTTCGCCCTACTTAAGACAATGTTATTATCTCCTGAATGTTATGTGTTTAGCTAATGTTGGACGATTTCCTCAAAGATGAAGAAGAGACTCGAGGCAACGGAGATGTGGTTCTACAGAAGGATGCTAAGGATATCATGGACCGAGTGTGTAAGCAACGATGAGAACTTAGAGAGTTTGCAAAGAAGGAGGCTTATACTTAACACCAGGAAGAGACTGATGAATGTCCTGGGACACATAATGAGGAAGGAGAGCTTGGAGAAACTGATACTCACAGGTCGAATAGAGGGAAAGTGAGACAAGGGAAAACAACGTATGACAGCTAGTGGCCTTAAGCAAGTGGATGTGAGAACGTGGGAGCGGTGGCAGAAGGAAGGAACTTGTTGAGAGCTGCAAGGGATAGAGGGAGGTGGAGAGCCATGATCGCCTACGTCCTGAAAGGACATGGCACATAGAGAAAAAGAAGGATGTAGAGAAACAAAATTACGAAGGAGACTGGGGAAACACAAGTTTGTCAATATGAATTATTCTCTTTGTCGATTTTTTCCTCGGCTCTCTTTCCTTCTCTCTCTCTCTCTCTCTCTCTCTCTCTCTATCTCTCTCTCTCTCTCTCTCTCACTCTTCTTTTCTCTTCTGTCTCTTACGCGTAACGTGTCTTTTTTCTCTCATTCTCTTTCCTTGAACATTATATCTTACTGTTAAGGGATCTTACCCATAATAATAATAATGTACTCTTCCATACATAATAAATACTGCGCCTCAGGAGTAGGCAAGAAGTCAGTAGTTCGAGTCGAGTCAAGAGTCGAGTCAGAGGCAGTCCGAAACAGAGTCGCGTTCAGACAATTACTACAAGACATTGGAATAGTGATACTGGTCGAGACTACATTGTTCTCTCTACTAAACCTGATTGTTCATACTAACACTTCCACTTCTCTGTATATATTCCTGTTTGTAATATATCTGTGTTATTCCATACCTGTGTTCGAGTTCTTCTTTATTGGTTCTACCTTGGACTATCACTGTGGTACAAGGAACCGAACCATAACACTTACATAACCTCCCTCCCATGTTCTCCATTCGTTTTTTTTCTTTCTTCTATTTTCATTTATTACATATGCAAACATATATATATATATATATATATATATATATATATATATATATATATATATATATATATTAGTTTGAGCGCTTAGCCTTGGAGCGGGTAGAATGGAGATCAACGTCTTTTAGTGGACTCAGCAGTTTTCAATCTGCTTGTCTGAATGATCTTCAAGAAGCGAGAGCGAGATCTAAAATGTCAGCCAATCTAACAGTGGTCTCATCTCACAATCCTCACTCTTGCTCCATATATGACCTCCTTTGTAAATCACTAGCGGGTCTTAAATGCCACTTAAGATTATCGCACAAACGTTCATAACTGAATCAATAAGCTGCCACATCCTCATACGTCGAAACCGACGAGAGAGTCCATTATTATTATTATTATTATTATTATAAAGTCTGCTTTTTAATTAAACTAATATTCGCTAATATATTTTACATTTAGCTCTCTGGATTACATCCTCCTTGGGATTATCCATACGGATTACCAAACATTTCATTACCTAACTATATATATATATATATATATATATATATATATATATATATATATATATATATATATATATAAAGTGTGAATCGATGTCAACATCAAGCGGCGACAGTCTTAATCACTATCTTCAGTCCTGAAAACTGCGTTTAAGCATGAAACAGACTGTCGCCGGTGTGTTTTGACCGCAATATCCACTTTTATGTTTACATATGCTCTATTACTGATAGTGAGTACTTTAACTTACAAATATAGCATACCTCAAAACTATATTTTTACCATATATATATATATATATATATATATATATATATATATATATATATATATATATATATATATATATTAGTGAACACTGAGATCATCACCAACGTAACGGCTATCGTTTTATCTTAACGGTTATTGGGAAGGCAGTAATGGTTATGCTTCAAATTATAAAGGCTATCAGTAGAAAAACTATGAATCCGAAGACGGTAATTTGTAGACATGTTAAGTTTTTACTCATTAGATATATATATATATATATATATATATATATATATATATATATATATATATATATATATATATTAGAAAAATTATACTCAGCATTAATTACCCACCGTTAATAGTCTAACCATAAATTCAATTTAGAAACGGTCTTTTTGATACATCGTTTCTTAGCCTGTACGAAGGTCCATCTTTGCCAAAATTTATATATCATATTCTTTCCTCTCTCTCTCTCTCTCTCTCTCTCTCTCTCTCTGTATATATATATATATATATATATAGGAGAACAACACACACACACATATATATATATATATATATATATATATATAAACCAACACTTCAGTATTATTTAATACCGACTATTGACTTCTGACGAAGTGTTAATCGAAATGCGCCTTAGGTTGTATATTTTTTATTCGATTTTAATCGATGTTATATTTATTTTATTCGATTTTAATTGTTATATCTATATATATAATTTTAAAATTAAGATTTTAATCGTTAAATGTATATATATATAAATATACATTCGATTGGTTAATCATGGCAAAGCTAAAACTCCTATATTTAATTCTGTGTTTTTTATCGAGAAAATCAGGGCAAGTATTCTGCTTTTGAAATTAAAATAATCGTTCACTTGCCAATAATTTGCCATCACCCGAGGAGACACATTTGTAGTGTTGAAACATAATTGTAATTATGTAGCGATTTTAACATGTTTTTGGCTTTATATCCTCCAATAAATAATATATATATATATATATATATATATATATATATATATATATATATATGTGTGTGTGTGTGTGTGTGTGTGTGTGTGTGTGTGTAAAAGAAGCTGTGCTGAATAATTATTGGCTGGTCTACTACAGCAGAATATAACAAGATGGCCAAATATTTTTCTCAGTCAAAATTAAAATAAAATTTCAAACGCTTTGCAATAAGATTTATTCTTAGATTCTTTTGAAGAAGTCAAACTGTTTGTGCGTGTGTTTCATACTAATGTTTACTAAATACAGTGTAACCCGGATATAAGAGACCCGGATATAAGAGAAACCCGGATATAAGAGAGATTTTCTCTGGTCCCAAATTAGAGCCTGTGTTAATCTATATAAAATAGACCAAACCCGGATATAAGAGAAACCCGGTTATAAGAGACTTCTTCTCCGGTCCCCACAACTCTCTTATATCCGGGTTACACTGTACAAGATCCGAAGCCCACCCAACCTAGAAGTTTACTGTGTGGTGCTGTATGACTCTAAGAAAAGCCAAGAAGTCAAGTCCGTGGGATTATACAGTAATGTTAATGCTTCATCGTAGATTTGAAGACCTCAGGAGTGTATTGATTGAAAAAGCATCCTGCCGGGAGTCTTTTCCACAAAGTTCTTAGAAACAAGCTGTTCGACTAGTACTTATTACTAATGGAATACAGAAGGAATGGGTACGTGTCACGGAAGGTCGGGGGCGGTGGCACTAAGGAGTGTAGTTCGTCAGGTCACATGCTATGGAAATAGCGATAAAATAGCGGGAGGCTTGTGATGTTTGATCTGTTCGAAAGGGACTGTAGGAGTGAAAATAATTCATCACCCACAAGGATATGTATAAAAGAGAGCCTGAAGTATAATTCTTGGCGCGACTCCTTAACCATAACCTAACGAAATGGTAATTTTTTTTTTTTTATAGATTTTCAAATATCCAGTATTTTTTCAATCAATATTAAAGTGAAATTTGAAAAGTTTGCAATATTTCTTTTTCATTCATTCTTTATATTGAAGAAGCTAGACAGTGTGTTTATGTGTATGTGTGTGTGTGTGTTTAGATGAATCATAGAGATGAAAATAATTCATCGCCTACAAGGATATGTATAAAAGAGGGCTTGCAGTATAATTCTTGACTCCTTAACCATAACCTGACGAAATGGTAAATTTTTTTTTTTTTAGATTTTCAAATAGCCAATATTTTTTCAATCAAAATTAAAGTGAAATTTCAAACAGTTTGCAATATTTCTTTTTCATTTTTTGTTTATCTTGAAGAAGCTAAACAATGTATGTGTGTGTGTGTGTGCGTGTGTGTGTGTGTGTGCGCGCGCAGATGAATCATTCTTTCCCGACTCCTTCCTGGACGAAGTTGCCATGTGCTCTCATTTATCTATTTCCGGCTTCATCAATCCTTACTTCCTCTAGACAAAAGATGCCAAGTTTCACAGCTGAACAAAGATTTGCTGTCGAAAGTCGATTTCTGTATTATATTGTTGAATAATAGATAATCAAGATGGCGCCTGACTCACAGGGTTTGGGAATTGTGAAATGTGGCAGAAAATTAATTGTACTCTTCTTAAATAATTCTGTATATTGCTTTTGAATTATAATTGTGATCTTCCTGTCAGGATTGTACTAATTCCAATTTTATAAATAAATTATTCAATTTAGCATCGTCGCCCATTTCTCCCCTCAAAGTTAAATGGTATGATGCAACAAAAGATTGATATGATTTCTAAAAATCAAGTTTCATTTTATCTTAAGCAATCGCTTAGCTGTTTTCAAACATGACAATGTTGTCAATAATGAAAACGATTTTTTGCTTTTTTAAAAAAAAAAACATGGTGCGACAGAAATACCTCCCACATATCAATCAGTTATGTGCCATGCGTGATACACGCTTAGGCGATCATGTATCTTTCGATACATGACTGACGAGGCAGATTTTTTTCCCAAAGTAAGTTGCGATTTCTTTCTGCGGTAGACCAGTTGCTATCCAAGGCTATAGAACCCAGTCTGTCCTGCTATTTACCCATAGCTGGGGCCTCCCCCATATACATCCAAAATGTCTTAAAATTGTGTGGGAGGTATTTCTGAGAGGTAGATGTAGGGGTATTTCTGCCGTTACCTGTGTAACAAGAGTCCGAAAAACTTACATATTTCTGTTTCAGCAAAATTCCTAATTTTCTAATAATAAATAAACATTTTTTTTTAAAAATCCTCTTCCAGCTAAAATTCAGGCGCGTCATCAATTGAGAAAGATGGTTTTCCAAGTTTTTTTTTCAAATTTACAAACGCTTTTATTTTAAAAAAATAATCACTTCATGGGTACTTCCATGTTAGCAGGGTTTTAATCAAACAAAATTTAATTTTATTGTTCTCTGAAATAAAATTTGATCAGTTTAAATGCATCTAAACATAAAAATAATGTTCAGCTCCATTAGACATTATAAAATACTCTTTAAATTTCGTTCATTTTAACAAAAAGTTAAAATTCGGACAGAACTTATGGGATGACCTGCTACAAATATATGTGCCTAACAATACTTACAAATGTAAAATGAAATAAGAATTATCATAAAACTAAATTAGAATAATATTATTCTATGTTTAAAACCTTTTTTTTTTTTGAAAATCTACATACAGATCCGGCAGATTGCACATTTTATCGAACAAAAACAGGTTAATGAGTCTGCGCAGTAAACACAATATAGGTATTTCCGTTTCCTTTTAGAATCGTGATGATCGGAAATTTTGATAAATATTTTCAATTACAGCTTGAATAAGAGTAGGAAACTATGACTGTAATGAAATTAGAGAGGTACAATTTATAGGGTTTGATTACCAAACAAGGGTTGCGTATTATGTGCGAGTAGAAGCATTTCCCCACACTTTCAGCACAATTTTAGGGGTGCGTATTATGGATGAAGACGTAGTATACATGAGGAATTATGGTAATTCCTTACCTACCAACTGTTCACCAAGACCTTTCTCTTCTCGATCGGGTCAAGTTACTTTTTAGTAGCCTCACATAATTAATGAAATGACATGTTCTGCAGAGATATATTCATGGAGCTTACATTGGTCGCGAAGCAAAGCTAACATAATATACAGATATATTCACAGACACATCCATATATACATATATTATGAAATGAATTAAGTCCCACAATTATTTAATATATTTTCTGTTTATAGATTATTTTTAATAGACACAATTTACTTAAGTAAATGTTCTCTATTCTATATAAAAAGTATTAAGTACACATACCGGCCTGAATGTTAGAGAATTTACGTAGAAAATATGCATTCTCCGAATAAACCGGACAGGAATCTCGAACATTCAGGCCGGTAAATGCAATTAATACTGTTTATTTAAAAAAAAATCAGAGCATTTACTTAAATAAATTGTATATATTAAAAATAACGTACAAACTGAAAATATATTAAATTATTGTCGGATTTAATCCGTTTCAGAATATGTTGTCATTGTTTACGTTAAGGTACGGTTCGTGAGCAGATATGATCGTTCGGGAAAGATCGTCGAAGATTTGATGTTTATAAACAGAAATTTGGACTTTGCTAACCAGACGCTTCTCTGTAGCTGAGTGGTAGAGCACCTCAGATCAATTGACAGTTCCGTATAGGACATAGGTTCGATTCCTGCCAGAAGACGCATATCTTCTACGAAATTTCACGAACATTCAGCCTGGTAAATAAGTTCCTTGATAATGGCTAAAAGAATAGCCGAAAGCGCTCGAGGATACAGAACATTTTGTCAATTTTTACGCACTTTATGTCTAGAAAAGAAAACACTTATATATATATATATATATATATATATATATATATATGTGTGTGTGTGTGTGTACCAATATGTAGGAAAATAGGAAAGAACACATTAGGTAAATAATCCGGAGTTCTTTAGTATTTTTGCTTTTATTTTTAAAAACCAGTGCTCCGTACAGAAGTAGAGTTTAAATTATAATTATTCTTTATATCAAATGTGCTACCTGAATTTTAGCAAAAAAAGAAATTTCCATGCCTGATGATGACTGGACGTACAGTCGAAAGTACTTGCATATTTAAGGAAGACCTAATACAGTTTATAATTTTTAAAAATAAAGATCATAACATTCATCGAGTGATTAATAGGTTAATGCACCTTTAAAATTTAGTTAGTGAAGGGATTTCTCCATTTTATATCATTAACTTTACTAATTTACTTTTTGTATGAACGATTCATTGTAATATAAATTAAACTGCACCATATATTTGATTTAAAAGAACCGATCCGACGTGCAAATTTTCTGAATGACAACTGAGACATTACTCTACTTATTGAACAATTTAGTTCATGACACGTTGATAAACTCCTACAACAAAAACAAAATTCTCAAATTGCCATATTAGTAAAAAAAGACGCACTCACTTGAATTTTCCAAAAAAAAATCAATATTAGCGTTGCGACTGCACGCTCCAAAAGTTTTTTATC